CAGATATAGCTGCAATTTCCGCTCGAATCTACGCTTTCAAGGCAGTCATCGTCCTCGGTTTATTAGAGTATTACAACAGACTTATTCTTGAGGAATCCTCACAACAAGTAATCCGGTGGCGACGAATCTGGGCTTCGTGGATGCCACTCGATGTTACCTCTCTTGGAGATGACTTTACCGGGGAACAACTCCTGTATGACCTCCATGCTGGCATTAGACGTATGTCAGGTGGCCCCATCCTGTTGGAACCAGGTCAGGGAGTTGTACTCTTGCAGTTCAGCAAGGATTGGCCTTAAAAGATCTTGAAGCATTTTCACTTAACAATCTGTATTAACTGTTACTATATTATCACTGACAGTGTCCTTGACACTGGTCCAGTTCCTTCCTCCCAGCATACGCTTGTTATATCCGACACTACAAGACGATGAAATATGTAGCAGTTTCACTTGGCACAAGAGCCGTGGTAGCTCAGATGGTTAACGCTCGCTGTAAGTATAACAGAACGCGAGTAACCCGGGATCTATCCCCACCGGCACTAATGAAATTGTTAATTGTAATTTTAAATGCTGATTTGAAACGTGCCCGGCGGTGAATGAAAACATCGTGGGGAAACCTGCATGCTTGAGGAATAAAAAAATATTTCGATGACATGTGAAGATCGCCAGCACGCATTGGGGCAGCGCGGTGGACACTTCCTTGCCCTAAAACCCTTTCAGAAATGATTTCCCTGTCGGAATGCTGTTACATTGGACTATGAGAGTGAGGGAATCGAGAGCGCACCTGTGCTTACGTATTCACTTTGGCACCTATGATATGGTTGTAGCACGAATCTCTTACTAAAGTACGTGAGGGTAATATGGTCAAGCTTAGCAAGCCTTAAGCTTTGCCGCCCTATAAAACCAACACTAGGGGAAGGACAGAGACAAAAACACAAAGTCGTATATACGGTGACTATTGTGTTAAGAAAAAAATAGCAAACAAGCTTTGGCAATGATTAGGAATACTACGAGAGATCTATTTAAAAAACTCCCTACACTACACTGTACTGAAATCGACTAAAATATTTACTATATTGTCAACCGTCGAAACGGCGTCGATTAAGCATCGCATTTAAACCCTTTATTATTTGATTGTCTGATGAAATGCTATCGTATCACAGAGCCGTCTATGCAAATAGGGCTGTAGTTTTTGAGTTACAAGAAATTGACCACATTAACCGGATATATTACCCTATTATAATATAATATTATTATATTGCTACTGTTTGTCTTCACTGTCGAGAGGTTCAGTGTGATTGGGATCTTTTCACAGTGGTGCAAATGAACCTGTAAGTGAACCAAAAGCCAGAAGGCACGAAGCCAAAAATGCCCCATCCCTCTTACACCATTCTACATAGATTTCTTTATTTTACTATATTTTATTTATTTAATGATGATGTGACAAAAATATTAATTTTTTTTTCTGAAACTAGTGACTCTGAATCTTTAGAACATTCTAACAACTAATCTTTAAATTTATGTAATTAATTTAATTTATGTTCCTATTATGACCTTACCTGAACATAATATCTACACTAGACAGAATAGCAGCTTAGATCACTAAAGTGCAACCCCGAACTTTAAGTTTTAAAATCTTTAGTCACGGATCACCAGGCCGTATATTATGCCTAAAAGTGAAACAAAAAAAAAGAAAGATTTGGCCACTTATAATAAAATAAATAGTGTGGCGTAAGACTATCCGCTACCTCAGAACCACACTCTCATAGTATACCATCTTAATATAAGATAAAATAACATCCTAATGCTGCCATGTTTATATTGTTGTGGTGATTGTTGAGAAGTGGAGACCATCCTTACTGGAAACCAGGTATTCCATCTTAGTCTTCACGAGTGACAACGTATCTGCATTTTGCTTCTTAATCGAGGATAGATATAGATGTGTATGGACCACAGTACGAGTATCCACTAACCATGAAGTAGACTGTGTGTGCTATTATCACTCTTATGCAATTAAAATAGACTGTAATAATGATAAATCTACATTTAACAGTATTCTGTAAATCTTCATCTAACTTTATATGTAGGTACGTTCAAAGCTAATGAGAATTATATAATAAACTTACAGCCTATATACGCCCCACTGCTGAGCACAGGTCTCCTCTCATTTCTGAGAGGGTTTTAGACCAAGGAGGTGTCCGTCGTGCTGCCCCAACTTCACATAACTTCACACGACTTCGAAATATTTTTTTCCTATTTCTCAGACACGCAGGTTTCCTCTAAACGTTTTTCTTCACCGCCGAGTACGTGGTAAATCTGTTCTTAAAACTGTCATTAACAATTTCATTGGTGCCGGCGGGAATCGAACCCGGATTGATTGCATATTGTGAAATTTACAGCGAGCGCTTAGCCCCTAAGCTACCACGGCTCCACACTTTAATAATCTATACAAATAAATAAAATAGAAATGTTTGTTTATAATTTCAAAATAACATTGTTACTAAATGCATAAGAAATTACTTGTATACGGTACTTATATACGGTTCGGCCGTTCAGAGAATGCGTTCCTGACACCTATCAGTTAGTCACGACTAGTGATGGCCACAACATAACACTGAGTTCGTTACCGTTCCTCCAAAATGAACCGCCGCGTTATTTTTAACATTATTTTCGTTTTAAATTGGCGGAATCATTTAAAATTTATATTTTAGTAATTTAAGTGGAAACCAAAAAAAAGGTAATATTAATATAATAAAATTGTTTTATTTATTCTTTGTTACAAAGTTACAATCTGTATTTCTATGCAATAAAGTACATTGAATTGAATGTGCATACAGAATATTAATCAGACTCCGATTCGCTTGAGGAGTTGGTGTCTTCATCATCATCTTCGCCTACATGTATAATTATATTATTATCAATAACAGAATCAATCCTGATATCTCGGTCAAAATGTTCCCCAATCAGGTTTTTAGTCTTCTCAACAACCTTTGCCTAGTCATCTCTTGTGACTTGCCCGCAGGTTTCTTTTAATAGGGTCATCATCTTTTTCGTGCTTAATGGCGGGGAAGTATTGTGGCGGACGGCGTAACCTTTTATTTGAGCCCAGATTAGCTCAATCGCGTTATATTGGCAATGATACGGTGGAATTCTTAGAACGCGATGACCGTACTCCAGAGCCAGTTCATCGATTTCGTATCGCACATTTGCCGCTTTATTTTCTTTAACTAATTTAATTAGCTCTGGTTTTAGCATCTACATATTTGCGTCAATGCCTTTTGCTTGTAACCAAGCCACCATTTCTTCTTTTTTATTAGCTTGGGTAGGTGGTTTCTGTATTTGAACCGAGTGATAGGAGGCATTATCCATGAATATTACAGAAGGCTCTAGTAGGTGGGCAAAAGCACGTTCTGGAACCACTCTTTAAATGTAGTGGCATTCATTTCCTCGTGGTAGTCATTTGTGGTTTTTGATTGAAATGCCAGTAACGCGTTCTCCACAAAGTTGTATTTTGCAGAACCTGTGTGGCATATTATCAGACGGGCCCCCTTACCCATTGATACTTTCGACGTTGACACTTGTGTATCATCCTTTCAAGAACGGGAAACCGTGTGATTGGCGTTTAGCCATGTCTCGTCAATGAACACGACATTATCCCAGTTATCAATATTTTTGCTTCTCTCAAAAAACTTATCCGTTTTAAAATTATGTCGTATCGTTCTAATAAAATTTTTCTTTTGTCTGTTTTTATACGAAAAACCAATATCTTTTAAGATTTTGGTTAAAGCAGTTTTACCCCCGCTAAACAGTCCAGCTTCTCTTAACAATGCCAAAAGCTTCTTCCTGTTGAGATATTCATTTCTGGAATAGTAACCATATATATGATTTCTGATTGCATCGGCGTCAAAGGTGTCAATATCTGTCACGGGTTTAGTTCTACGTTTCTTCTTCGGAGTACGTAAAATATTATCTTCCGTGCCAGTAGAGCCGAACTTTTCTTTATTAATATTTGTTATCGTTCGTTTACTAACTCCAAGCGCCTGAGAGCCGCGTTCTTGTACTTGTTCGATAGGTAACAGGGGTACGCCATATTGCCGCTCCCGCTCAGGCATTATTATGCACCAAAAGTAAAAAAGAACGCAATACAAAACACAATCGAAGTCCGATTCAGCCCCGATGTCAGTTTGAAAAGCAGAAACAGTCCATTAAACGAAAGCCGGGTAATCAAATAAAAACAGATCGAAAATACTTGAAGAACGTGATCTATGCGCACAAAACGACAACAGACGACTGTTTTAGCGTCACAAAATGGCGGCCCATAACGCCATTTGGGCTTACCATTTTCAACCTAAATATAAAAATGCTACTTTCTTTCGCGCGTTCGGTTGGTCGTAGTTTTATTTTTATATTTAATAAAAGTTATCTTATAGTCCATTATTTTCAAATTCTTAAAAAGAAAAACAAAACGTATTATTTTATAAAGTATAACCGTATAAGAACAGATTACGGTACTGTTATTGCCTGTTATTGTTAGCACAGCACTACAAATATAAAGCGCTGACATAACCTTGTAATAGCGCAGTATAGATTTAGAAAAATATTGTTTAACAAGTTATTCGACATTCAGTTTGGCACAAAATTATAACATCCATTGATTATTGATATAATAATGTTGTTTTAATGCTCATGAATTGTTAAAACTGTAAACAACCAGTAAAAATATTTTATCGTAACTGCAGCGTCATTACTAAGTTACGTCGTCAGTTCAATAACAAAAACAATTTTTAAAATTTTTGTCTGTCTGTTTGTTCCGACTTATCTCAGAAACGGCTGGACCGATTTTGACGGGACTTTCACCGGCAGATACTGATGTTATGAGGAGTAACTTAAGATACTTATACAAAAAATTGAAACCTATAAAATCTTAATAAATTTCACGCGGGTGCAGTCGCGGAAAACAGCTAGTCTTACTATAATAATAACTTTTCTTTCAGGATCTTGAAAATGAAAGTTGAAATCCTGATCATTTTGACAATTGTATCGCTTGTGGTCACGGAAGAAGGTACGTACAGGTCTACGCTGGTGGTGGCATGTATTTTTACGGAAACTACCCAACCTCCACTTTGTTTTTTTTTCTATACTTGTAAAGTATGCCGTGTAGTGGCGGTGTAAGAATATCCACTAGCCCATATCATCCCGCGGGTTTCAGAGGCGACAGAGGGAAACAAATCAGAGAAGATGGCAGCAGCGTCTTCCTAATAACGACTAAAATAATTGCAGTTGTCAAGCCGCTTGCCAAGCGTGGCAACTATGGTTAATATCCCCCTATGAGGTAATCTATGGGGGGGTGGTCTACGTTCAGCTGTGGACTTTTATAGACTGTAATGGATGGTTGAATAGAAGATAATCTACCAGGATCACATGACCCACTGAGAGGTGAAATTATTGAATCAACAGTAATATTACAACTGTGGCAAATCTCCCCCCTTGGTGGACTTTGATAGGTTGTAACGGTAACGGCCCCTATTAGATAGAGTGAAGACCTGGTACAACATGCAGGAAGTAGATGGATGCAGGTGGCTAATGGTCGTTCGCACTTTGTGGCATTTCTTGGGGGAGGCCAATGTCCAGTAGTGGACTTGTGAAGCGCTGTAATGATGATGATGGTGATGTTTAATAGAAAGCAATAAATTAATGAGTATTTGAAAAACCAACGTCATTACCAAGATTTATGATACTCTGTTTGAGAAGTATAACGTGTTTTTAAGGTGACCTTTGCACAAAAAATGGGAAACGCGGAACCTGTAAGATATTCCACGACTGCAAGCCGGCCTTGGATGAGTTCATGAAGTACAGGACGAATCCACAGGCAAGTATCTTTAACATACTGCTAAATAGATTGGGTACGTACTAATGATTTCATATATTTACGAAAATAATGTTTCATTTTGCCGCGTTTAATTTAAACTTCTTTACTTTAACGGATTTTATCGCTTTTCATCTCAATTTTCGGACATAAGGACATCAAAAAACTTAGCCCCCCCATCCCTCCGTGACTATGGGTGCTGTAAACTACCTAAAACTTCGACAATTGAGAAAATGTTGTTTTATTCTAAGAAAGTATATAAAGTTTCCGTTTGTAAGTTATTTATTTAGTACTGTTGGTTTATGAACGCCCGCAGCCTAAACGGCTTAATGAGTCTTTAGACTTACTTTGATCTTTGAGTTTAATAAAAAAAATTACTAATCATTGTGTTCGGTAATAAAACGCAACTCTCAAAATTTATATCGAGACACAATAATCTGCTGCGATATGAGTTCTGGTTATACCTAGTGTAACATGCGTTGTAATAATTTGTTGAGTTAAAAAAAAAACGAAAAGGAGATAGGAAGCGTGAGAAGCCATACACGTTCTCTTTTTGTTATCGTGGTGTGAATATCGCTCCAAAACAACTTTAAAAAAGGATTACTCCAGAGTGTACCGTGTATAATCTAATTTCTTTTATATTGTACCGTGTAGAAGAAGCTACCAGGAGCTATCAACGTTTGCTGATCTTGGGAGGCTGGCTAGTAAGACCATTAGTAGCTTGTTGCTGTTTTAGTATAGTTTTGTGATTGCGGTAACTGAACGTTCCACGGGATTTAGAATCTCAATATAGTCCACTATACCTAATAAAATAATCCTAAAACACCACACATTATAAACCAGAGAGTTGGGGGAGGGATGCACCACACCACTCAACGTAGCGCAGTCGAGGGAAGCCCAGTCGACAGAGCTCCGCTTATCCATCCCTCCTTCGTGGTTATTTTTTTTATAAACCACTCAGAAGTAGTCCCTCCTACTTCTGAATGGTTTATAAAAAATAATCACGAAGGAGATGGCGGGGTCTATTCGCTTGCCGCTTGCTTCGCTCGCCCACTGGACTTCGCCATCTGCTTCTAACCTAACCTGTCCGAGTCGGGATACTCTAAGTTCCGAGCTCGCTTCGCTCGATCTTACACTCAATAAACACCAAAATAAAAAGTTAAGAAACAAACATTTTCAATGCTTTTTTTTAAATGTTCGTTTTTCTTGTATAGATTATGAAAAAAATATAAAAACTTCATTCGATTATTTGTAAAAAAGTTATTAACACATATACGTGAATGAATGTATTTTCATGAACATTTAAAGCCCTGGAATCAATATAAGTTTTAATTTTATTTATTCCTGATATTTTTTTCGTAAATCTGCCATAAAAACAAAGATTAAAAAAATATCTAATAATTTTCTTTCGTAAATCCGCCATAAAAACGAAGATTTAAAAAAATCATCGAAATCAAATGATTTTTCGATTTTATATAGTCAAAAAACGAGGGGACCGCGATAGAATAAAATTACCGCAATATCGGATGAAAAGACAGATGTTGGCAAATTATTCCACTCAATATTAAAATTTGACAAATTCATGATGAACATGCAAGCACAGTGCAGGCTAGGTATGTCAAAAACAATGGGTGGAGACTGGTCCAGCTCTTGTTCAATGTTGGAAGGAAGAAGGAGAAATTAAATTATACAATTCCTACACACAGACTCTCCGTAATGTAACTGGTGAGATTGGCTTAAACCAGATTTATGGCAAAGATATTAAAAAATAATCAGCTTAGATCAGAGTAATAAAATAAAATGATGCGTCTTACCTGGTTTGAAGAGCGTCTCCCACCCTTCCTAAAATGCGTGCACTATCCCAGTCACCACTAATCCCAGCACCACTGCACTAGGAAAGGCACACCACCGTAGATAATACGACACATTTTTTGCCTCTACACGAGGCATCGTTAGGTGAAATATATTCTGAGGCGGCTTATCGCTAAGTAAGCAAGTTGGGTCGCCAAAAGACTCTTAGCCATTGACTTATACAGGATATTAGTGTAAACACCGTTATCCTTGAAACCAGTGGTTTGGTTTCACTTATAGAACGTAAATTCATTGAAAAATAACAACATTTTTTTTAGTAAAATCTCAATTTTTCCTTCATTCCATTCCAATTTTTGCCTGTCCTAAACCAGGATGAAAGTATGAAGGGAAAGTTACATCACAGGTTATTGTACCTATCGTATTTTTATTGAAATTTTGTGTAGGTAGCTAGCGCGGGCGGTGATTTTTACAGTAATTACGTCACTCGGGCGCAAAGGGTATCCATGAATTTACGGACGGAGTCGGACAGAAACTTTTTAAATTTTATGAAAGAAAATAGCGTTTTTTTATAATATTAAAATTAAATATTTTTATATTAAAGCCAACTACCTATGGTTTTAGTGACAATGGTGTTTACACTAACACCTTGTACACCACTAGCGCAAGGACCGGGCCGACCAAACAACTAAAACGGACCAGTGCGCTGGCCCTAAAATTACAGTTTAGGACCAACGCAAATCGGTCGACAGTAGTGCGCGCGCAGGACAGATTTGTCTGTCATAAATATGTCAAGCTGCGTGGTAAAAGAACACAAAAATTACGATACGAAGATTAAAAAGAAACATGGGATATCGCATCATCGGTTAATAACCCTGCATTATTATTTTTACAATTAAATTATTATATGAACGCATTTTTCAAGTTTTATTTTACAGTTAGTTTAGTTACGTTACTAATATTAGGCCAGGGTTGGATTTAGACCCTCAAAATATTATACATGAAAAATAAAATTATACTATTTTTAAAAAAATTATATCACTTTTGACGTTTCATGTTTCTTTTTTCCCATGTGGCGGGATTTTGGCGACACGCGTCTAGTTTATCTATACGTTTCGTTTTTGACGGTTTCATTTCTAATCTGTTTTATTTTTGCCTAAAAATCTTAGAATAAGTTTAATTTTGAATATTGGTACCTAATATATTTTATATTCAATAAGGGTAAAACGAAAACAGCATAAAAGAGACCATATCTGCTTAATTGAATCTGAAAATCCGATTCATAAAATATTTTGAAATTCTGTTTTCAAACCGATTGCTTCTGGAGCATAGAGTTTTATCGTGGTAGTCCCTCATTATAGTTGTATCAAGGATGCAACATAAATGCATCCATCGAGCACCGATTAACCAGAAAGGGAGCTAATTATAATTTTATTTAAAAAACGCGGTACTCATGTACAATACAGAAATTTTCGATATCGTAGGATTAATATTAAAAAAGTAAAAGGACCCAATAATAATACAAGTCGATCTTTAGGTAAAATGAATTTAATTTAGGTAAAATTTGCGCTTAGTATTATTACGATACTATATACTACAAAATATGAAATAATGGTACAGTTAGGATAATTATACTACGAAATCCGACCCTGGTCACGTCGTGTTATGATGACGTTTGTATTATGACAGCTGCGCTACTTTTTTTGTATGAAAAAGTTATGAGTAAAATATTTAGATGGGCCTATCCTTCCTTTTGAAATCATTGCTCTTAACACAAATAGTTAATAAGGTACGTGACGGTAATACAGTCACCTTAAGCTTTGCCGCTATATAAATCCAAAACTTGGAGGAGGACAGAGACAAAAACACAAAATCGTATACTATAACTAATATATTAAGGAACAAATAGCAAACAAGCTTTGGCAATAATTAGGAACATTTTAGTCGCAATACTAATATCGACTAAAATGTTTATTATTTACTATAATGTCAACTGTCAAAATGGCGTCGATGAAACAGTGCCCTTTTAACTTCTAATATTTTATCTACTGATAATGAGCTGTCGTATCATACAGTCATCTATGCAAAAAAGGCTATGGTTTTTGAGTTATAAGAAAGTAAACATATTAACCGGATGACCATATTACATTGACTTATACATTACTAGCCATATTACCCTCACGTACTATATTAGGTAAGTTTTAATGCACATTATGTATCATTGATATACTTTTTTTAGATTGGAGGTGACAAACGAGCACACAGTCCACCCGATGGAAAGTGAAATCTGTGGCCCATAGATCTCTACATTTATCTTCGATGAACTATCAAAGTTCATATGCTTTGTCACTCCTGAAGACCAAGATGGAATGCCTGGTTACTACTCGCAGCATACCAGCGTAATATAACAGCTTAATGTAGTTGTTTTTCGTATGGTGAGTGTAGAGAACCGGATATTTTACTTGAAACGAGGATTTGATTTTTAATCGAGGATAGACGCAGATGTCTATGGGTCACAGCATTCACTTATCATCAGGTGGACTATGTGCTCGTTTGTCACTCTTATTCTATAAAAAAGCGGCAACGTGTCTCTACTACGTAATATGGTTCTTGCAATTGATAATGCCGAGTTAGCTTTATTCGTGGTGGAACGTTTCATGCGTTGGTGTGCGTGTCTGACGTGGTAGTCAGTTGCGAGGGTATCGTCGCTATCTGTTTTTTTACCCACTTTTAGTCTCAGGCACACTAACTCGTAAGCACCAAAGCAGTTAGTTATAGTTCTTCTTAGTTTCACGAAGTCACGAACTATAACTAACTGCTACTCTTACTCTTTTGACTACAACCTCGTTCATCACTTAAACGTCATATTGCAGATTTGTAGCTGGGAAGATGATGAACCAGTCGTATGCTGCGTTAAGAAAAATAAATACGGAGGCAGTCGCCCCTGGGGCAGGTATAGTACCTCAGCCATTTCGAAGAAAGTATTATTCGCTATGACTTATTGTAACCATTTCTTTTATAATATGGTGACAAATCAGTACAAAGGCCACCTATGTTAAGTATAGACAGTGACTCATGTGTCACACACTGGCTGTGATCTTTATTAAGAATCAATTTTTAGATGCATTGTTAACCCTGAGGACGAAGATGGAATGCCTCATTTCCAGTAAAAAGGTATTCGGTTCTCTACAATCAACAAAGGAAAGACTGAGCATTGAGCTGAGAGTTGATTTTACGCTGGTATAATGTGAGAGATTGGTGATTCTGATCGTTTGAGCGTGCCAATATTTGGTTTATAATACTTATTGTGTTTTTAATAATGATTATATCAATAAGGTGCACATAATCGTCCTAATTAATTAAACACATGTAATGTCAAGAAATTATATCTTCAGTTTTTACACATATTATCACCGTATTGTCACCAGCAAATAGCATCAGCAAATAGCAGCGATCCATTTCAATATAGAGTGGGATTAGAAATGGCACAGTATCAATGGCAAAAACCCGCTAACAATAGTATATATAGTACGGCCAACTAGCTGCGATACGAAAGGTCATGTACCTTAAAAACGACTGTAGAGTTGACAATATATTTATCAATCTCTTCCCATCACATTACGACAAATACACAAGTATTGTCACGTTTTCTCTTTAATCGCATTAAGGATGTAATTAATATACGTTAAAAAATTAGAGAACCAAGAACGCTTCCTTGTGGCACACCTAAATTTCAGTGCAGATTATTTTAGTAATTTGTTTATCCATATAAACAAAATTACTTATTTCTGTAATTTGCTTAGGATGTTGTAAGTAGCTTTTAATTCAGTCAAACGGTTTACCGTAGATGCCATTTTTCTCAAATTTATGAAGTAGTTCTTCATAATTTACATAATCCAAGGCTTTACTCGTGTCAAAAAATACAGCCATAATTGGTTTTTGTTCAGAGAGTTCATTCCATAATGATATTTATGATGCAAAAACATGCGGGCGTTGATGAGCGTTTCTTACGGTAACCAAAATTTTACTCATCATTATCACCATCATCGTACGGGCTGTCCATGAAAGTCTATGTCCCAGTATTGGAATATTTGCTATAGTTGCCATTTGGTAAGCGAGTTGGCAACCGTAGTTTTTATTTTATAGATCTTATTAGGATGATGTTGCTGTCCATCTTCTCGTGTTTTTCCCTCTTTCGCATCTTACAATACCCACGGAACGATATAGGGTAGTGAATATTCTTATACCACCACTACACGGTTTGTTACTACAGCTTATTTTATTTTTCAGTAACAGCAGACCGAACACTCGCTTACCGGAGTGCGAACCGATTTCCAGGAAGCTGACTGCACAGAGGACTGGCCAAAAGGCGTGGGACAGTAAGTATTAAAGTAACCCTGAAAATATTTCAAAAACTATCATCACAGCCGTTGCTGACCACCATCATAGATAGTCACAATTCAAGGTCCTGATAATAAGCCACCTGCATCCACCAACAACTTGAGTGTTTCATCAGTCTTTTCACCTACGCAAGTCGTTGAACACTACTCTTGCGACGAAAAAGTTGCAGCTCAAGGATTTTTCTTCTACAGTATTATTGCTTTAAGACATTTTGATTAAAAAAAAAGCTAAACTATAAAAAATATTCCGTTTATGAGGCAATCGAATAGAACAATTTTTAATTCAGTGTAGATTACACGTAATTCTTATTGAAAGTCATTTTTTACTTTACCACTGGTTCGGAAAAAACCTCTGTCCTGGGAAGAACCAGTAAGATATCTAGCGGGACTTTTTTTTAAATAAATTTCACAATGTGAATGGTCACAAAATATATACAAAATTTATTTTAGGAAGAACTTGGAAGCGACCACCTCATTCCCATATTATTATCAACTATGAATTCATTTATACATTTGTCGACTATTCATGAAATGATTTGCGACTTTTTTAAGAGAACGTTTTAGAAGTAAATATTCTATTAAATTCACAATTTATAATTTTAAATAACTTACTGTACAAATAATCAGGACTATTTTTAAATCAATAATGGAAGTCCTTTTACTATATTACTTCTAAACCTCTCCAAACGATGTGCATTTATTGGAACAAACACAACTTTCTTAATTTTCTGTTTTTGTGTATGTAACAGGTCCACTGTAAGTGAACTTAAATTTTTATTTAGATTTAAATAATGAGCTAAACGTAATACTAATTGAAGCAATTTCAAGGAGATTGATGTTAAAGCCTCCACATATTACAACTCGGAGTTTCTCTGTGTGATAAACTTAGAAATGAGGATATCCGCAGTAGAACCAGAGTGATCGACATATCCCAACGGATTAGTAAGCTGAAGTGTCAATGGGCCGGCTGTATAGCTCGAAGAACCGACAACCGTTGGGGAAAAAAGGTTCTCGAGTGGCAGCCTCGTACCGGTAGACGAAGTGTAGGGCGACCCCCCACTAGATGGAGTAACGACCTGGTGAGACATGCAGGAAGTCGATGGATGCAGGTGGCTCAGGACTGTGATTTGTGGCATACCTTGGAGGAGGCCTATGTTCAGCAGTAGACTTGTAAAGGGCTGTAATGATGATGATGATGATGATGATATTACAACAGACTTGTTCTGCTTACTAAGTTTGAGCTAAACTTCATCCACAATCTTTTTCAAAATATTCGTAAGTAGCACATGGAGGTCTGTAAAAACTTAGAACAATGCGGTGCTCGAGCTCGACACAAGCCATATCTACAATTCGCTCAATAGAGAGGCTCACAATATCTTTAAGTTCTTTATATAGTAATGATTTATCTTCTAATATTAAGGAACCACCACGTAAACTTTTTTCTCTATTGAAGGAACTGCCACTTCCTGGTGATTTCTCAAATTAAACATTAAATTATAATTTAGCCAATGTTCAGTAATACATATGATACTCGTAAGTATGTTGTAACTATTTAAATACAATTCAACTTCCATTCTTTGCCCGTCATGCCTTGTATATTTTGATGCACCTGCCGGGCTAGCATGAGCAGGGGATAAAAATTGTATCCACCGATTATATCCACTGACAAAGGATAAAATTGTCCTATCCCTATGTCAAAGCTTTATCCACACTGCGAGCATGGGCCTATGGTGGATATAATATCGACAGTAGATAAACTTATCCCCGCGCATAGATAATATAGGATAGCAAAGATGTTTTATAAAACATCTTTGTACGATAGTATAAAGCTATAAACTATACTAGCTATAAACTTCCTTTTAAGATTGAGTAGATTTACATTAACTTATATATTCTTTTACCTTTTGTTTATTATATTGCTAAACTGTTATTAATTTTTGTTAAATAATATGTCATTTATAATATTTGTTATATTTATTTTAAGCGTATTTCTGCCTTGTTTTTATTTTTTCTATTATTCTAATTCTTTCTTTATTTTCTTTTGTATAATATTTAAGTTAAGTATACATTGCTTGTATCAAATCGCAGGTATTACTTCGCTTGTGATAGCATTTATTAAAAAATGTGTCTAGAATTAAGCCAATTGCGAAACTGGACAATACAGACCCTTTGGAGGTGGTGTAACCTCTTGAGGAAATTAAAAAAAAATATACCCGCAATTACTGCCATTATAAGAAAATTACAAAATACATCAAAATTGATGTCTACTCTAAGTCACAAAGATTTAATTTTAATTTAAAATGATGAAGCATGAAGAATAAAAATGTAATGATTTCAAACACAACAAGGAATAAATAATTTTATAATCATGAGTATAGTATATTTAGCAAGCTTTGCTAAAGAATTAACATATTTCTTAATTTAAACCTTTAAATTGTAACTTTACTAAGTTTGATAACTTTATTTTAAAACGTTATAATATCCCTAAAATATATTATAGACCGATTCTATTATCATTAAATTTGACTTGAAAATGGACTCGTCTTGGGTATTGTTGACACAACCTATGTAATTAAATAATGGTATTGAGCTATTGAGACTTTTTTGGACAAGGTGGTTGTAATAAATGCTTACTTCAGTATGTACTGGTAGTCCATCCACAGAATTAATAGGCTTTAAAGCCTCGTAGAGTTCTTTACACAAATACAAAACAATCTTTGAGCACCCGAAACCGGCGTAGAAATTCGTTGTCGGAGAATTCCAATAGATTAAGTATTCTGATCAGGTATCGATCGCTGATGTAATTCTCTTTCTTGTTTTTCAATTTCTGACACGAAAATGAAGTTGCAATAGGCTCGAGATATCTTTTTTTGTATTAAAATGGTTTGAAGATAAACTTAAACCCACGTCCGCGAAAGATGATAAAATTGTCCCTTTCAAATGTCAAAAAAGGGATAATTTTTTCTCTTTCCCTTGGCCCCATGCTACGGACGGGGAGATATATGTCCACTCGTTATATCAAACGGGGATATACTATAAAGATAAGATAATTTTATCTCTTGTCAGTGGATATAATCGGGGGATATAATTTTTGTCTCTTGCCCATGCTCGCAGGGTGGATAAAACTAAGCAAGGGATAAAAATTATATCCTCTCTCCGGCTCATGCTAGCCCGGCAGGTGTAAATAATTCTTATTACTTATATTATTACTTATTACTTACTGCATTCTAAATTAATTAAACTCTTATTATTATTATTGCTAGAGATTGCCCCTATTGTCGCATTCACTAATTTAAATTATATCATTATATGGAACTGATTCCAAATGAAGTGTCAAATGATTATGCTGCTTAATAGAAGTAGTAATACTCTAGAAACTGATAAACATTTATTTAAATCTAACTTCTCAATTAAATGACATTGTGTAACAAAATACTTTACCTCAGTATCAACTAGCGACATCTGGTGAGTGGAAGATTATTAGCCCTCATTGCTACACGATGAATGTACCGTGACAGTGCTCGCTAACATAGAACCTCTTATTTATTGGCACTCTTTTTAACAGAATGCCTCGAGTACCAAGAAAAGCTGATCTTTCCATGCAGGGAGAGCACTACACCTTCCGGAGGCATGGTACGGTTGAATTTATGCAATAGAAAGCCAGAAGACCTCATCATTGGTGGCGTAAACGCATATGAGGGAGAGTTTCCTCACATGGTAAATGATCTATAAAATCAATTATGATTTACATTAGTTAATATTTTTTTAGATAATAAAGGCGACTAACGAACTCATATGGTTTTAAGTCAGAGTGTCTGTGACATTACGGCACTTAGCGACATTTTAGAATTGAGCAACTTAAACGTTGCTCAATTTTAAAATGTCGTATTTTGGAAAAAGTCACACGCTGCTCAATTTTTTTACCACATGAGAAGCACCAGCTTCATCAGTACCATCATTATCGGATCACCTAGAAAGAAGTTCTAAGGTAATACACATCACAAAAAAATACAGTCGAATTGATAACCTTCTCCCTTTTTTGAAGTTGGTTGAAAAATCAAACTATGGACGTGTTTTCACTTTTGAGAACTAAAATAGAATGCCTCACAACCTATAAATATACAGAATCCCTTCAGATCGAAACAACATACCAGCTATTTGATGGCATCATTAAGGTGACACTGCGAGAAAACCTTGCATCGAATAGTATAGGACTATGACACAACTAACAAAACGGGAATTTTGATATAGGTAAATTCATGTTTTTATCTTGAATTCGCTTGTTTAAAAACACGATTGTATAATTTCGACTTGCTCATAATTATTTGCGAAAACACCTTTAAGAAATCACTATAGTTGAAATTATAACGAAATTATTTATTCTATATGATTGGGAATCACTCAAATATATTCATAAAGTCAATATTTGTAATTTACTTGCTCATTATTTTGATTACTTATTTCAATATATTTTTTTAAATATTTTAAAATTTAGACAATTTCTTAACGGTCTCAATCGTCACGGCCGCTACGCAATTTTAGATCTTATGCAAGTGTTTTTAAAGTTTTTATAGAAATTATGTACACACGCGGGTCAATCCGGCGATAGCCTGCTTCAACGGTGGACCTGCGCAAGCTACCGGAATTCGTAGACCCGCGAACTTTACTCGTAATGAACCAATTAGGGATCCACATTATGTGACAAAGAAGAAAAATAATGAAAATGTGCATAATGGCGCTAAAAAGAAGAGGAAGGTAATAACATTACAAATGTAGTTACAAATTGTGTTATACAATAAAAACTACCGTGGTACCAGCCTCCTTAGCATTGTGGAAAAACTGTATGCTGAGGTACTAATTGAAAGGGTCATGAAGGAAACTGATGGAAAAATTGGGGATGTGCAAGCGAGATTTAGAAAGGGAATGGGGTGTACAAATCAAGTTTTTTCCATGCGCATGATCACGAAAAATTTTTGGCCAAAAATTTGTGTTAGGATCAACAAGTTCTACTCGGACTGATTTGGCATCAATAAAGGTGTCAGACAGGCCTGTGTGGCTTTCCCGTGGCTGTTTAACCTATTTATGGATAATTGTTTGGAAAATTTGAAAGTTGAAGATTGTGGATTAAGAATGGGTGTAAAAATGCCTTTTGCACGTCAATGATCAAGTTGTTTTTGCGTCGTCGGCGGCCGGGTTGCAAATGATGGTTACATTAATGAACAGATCATTAAAAGAAAGGGGTATGAAAGTGAAGGCCAGTAAGACGAAAGTTGTGGTCTTTGAAAGAGAATAAATTAAAACGATATATGAAATAAGAATAGAAGGGGAGTTGATCGAGCAAGTAGATGAGTTTGTATATTGAGGATGCGTATTTAGCAGGGATAGGAGATATGATAATGATATAGAACGACGAGTGAACGCAAAAAATAGAGTAAATGGGGCCCTGCACTCTATTGTGAAGAGTCATAATGTGTCAAAAAAAGGCACGTTTGGGAATTCACAATGCTGTGTTGATCCCTAATTTAACGTATGGTTTTGAAAGTTGGGTGTGGCACAAGAAGCACGAGAGTACAATAAGCTCAGTAGAAATGCGGTCGTTAAGGAGTATGTTGGGACTGAATTTGAATGACCGGGTGAAAAATTGTGTGATAAGAGAAGAGTGTGGTTTGCAAGGTGATGGTGTGACCAGGATTAAGAAAGGAATGCTTCGGTGGTTTCGTTATGTGAAAAGAATGAATGAGGAAAGAGTGACAAAGAAAATTTATGTTGCAGAAGTGAACGGCAGTGTCAGAAAGGGACATCCTTGGCGAAATTTTATCGACCAAATTGGCAATATATTGAAAACGGGCTAAATCAGGAGTACCTTTAGCTGCCGAGCATGTATGCTTATATGGATGTGGAGGAGGCGGGAGAGGTGTGTTAGGATCGTGCCAAATGGATGTGACAAAAGGTGATAGGCGTGAGTGTTTATGTTATGTTTGTTATTAATGAGTTGATGTATGCGCGCCCAAGATTTCTGATCAAAATAGAGGCATTGCTACGCGTACCGGTTAAAGAATTGTACGTATACTACTAGACAGACAATTCAGAACAAAACCTGTGTCACAGCTGTAGATCGTGCGGGCGGGTAGCTGGCATGGTTAATATTGTTGCGCGCCATAATTAATGCCTGGTACATTGAGACGTTAGTTACAACTAGCGCCCTCTAGTATTAATTAGCAGAGCTAGGAGAGTCAAGATCCTTCTAGAGATTTCTATGACAGAACCTTCTACACCTAGTCAGTCGGGACCGTATATTCGAACATTCATTTCAGTAGAAGAGGCCCTATATAACGCTGGTATAGACCGCGACCAGAGTCAGTATTGAGTTGACACTTGAATTACAGAACACCAATTATAACTTAAACACACATAACACAATTTAGTACTACTGATCACTTTAGTTTGCAGTTATATCGCTTCAAAGTATTGTCTCTGTGCAACTTAACTGTATTATCATTTACAACAGTTACTGTTTTTAGGCAAATACGAAATAAAGTTACATATTTCTAAAATAAACTCAAAATCACGTTTACAAAGTGCGCTCATAAAATAATAACAGCGTTTTCTTACCGGCATCAAACAAAACAAAAAAAATCAGCGTTAGATTGACAAAAACGATGTCCACGGTTTACAAAATAAAGAACTGGTGTTCTCGCCCGCTCACGGTCGACTAAGGGAGTTACGGAGATTTGACCATAGCTTAGTGCGCAATATATTAAGTCCGCAGACCTCGTCTTGTAGTATAGGTAGAAGTCTTTTGTCCCGGTCATGGCTAATTTGGTGACAAAAAACTCATTGTAATGTTACAAAATTCTTACAGGTGCTGTTAGGCTTTGCGAACGGCACGTCAGACGAGAGTTGGGCTTGCGGTGGGATCCTAGTTAGTGAGAGGTTCATATTAACCGCTGGGCACTGCACCCGGAGCAAGGAATAGTGAGTTACTTTTTAACACGCTTTTATTATCCTCGCGTCGTATTATCTATGTAACGAAATCTGAATGTAATTTTCACCAACTTGTTGGCGGCGGATTGACTTGAAAATATGCAATAATTTCGTAACTTAATCTTAGTATCCTGATCAGGATTACCAGATTATTTTTCTCTAGATTCATCACACCGAATGATCAAAGCGTGTTTTTGAAGTTTTTTGTTATTTTTTTATAGAATGGAGTCTTACCGTTTGGTTGGTTCAGAAGATAGGTGGGTTTCATAAAACCGCCAATATTTAAAGTAAATGACTTTATTTATCTTACTTCCGGACACATACAAAGTTAGGTTCTAGGAAGGGTATCACCGGTGTGATGTAGGGAGGCAAAGTTCAGGCGGAGTTCTTGTAGTGTCGCAGACAGCCAGCTAGCGAAAGAGCCGATGATAACACAGATCCGGCGGAAATGATGTCCGTTGGCAGGATGGTAGGCCAAAAGTCTGTTAGAACACAGCATGGCAGCAAGTAAAGCTTAGGTGGTAGGTGGATCCTGGAATCCCAGACGTAGGCCAGCATTTGGAAACTTCCAAAAACACTATATGCACCCTTGTCAAGTTCAACACCCCTTCTGGGAAATTAAAAATTCCTAAGGACTAAGCAGCCCCAGCTGAAGAAATAGGAACTAAGCAGAACAGTTACAATGTTGTTATTGTTAAAATAAGTAAGAACTCACTCCAGCATGATCAGCTGCACTTTGAATAATTTAAATTTTGAATGTAGGTATAAGTCGCGGCACGTCACTCTAGCGCTGAACAAAACGTGGAGGGGATAGCTGTGAATGTGCTATCAGTACGGGGGACAGAATATGACTGGAGAACCAATCAGCGCGTGCGAACGATACGCACAGCCAATCATAAGCAATATTGCGCAATGTGGCCAATTATACGCAGTAACGGTCACCGCTCCATTTTAGTGCCGCGAGTTGTAAGCAAGTTTAACAGTCATTCGTTTAGGCTCACGCGCGCTGCGAACTTCAAGCAGTCTCAGGTAGAAATGAAAAAAGAATAGACCAAACGGGAATTCGTGCGCGTCTCCGAATTCTCGGAGTACTTCCGATTAAGAGATCGGTAAGCAACGGTTTAACGGTGAGCCGATTAAATTAACTATTTTAAGGTTCCGTGGAATAATATTATTAATCAATAATATGTAATAATTGATTCATTTTTATTTTAAAAAAAGTTAATTAATTACCAATATTTATAACCACGTATTTTTTCATTATTTGCTGTGGCCCATAGAAATCTATTCTCAATTAAGAATTAAAATGCAGATGTGTTGTCACCCCTGAGGAATGAGATGAAATGCCTCGTTTTCAGTTAAGAGGGTTATCTACACTCGACATATACGCTAGGGACCCATTCAAACATACACAGAAAATTTCATCAAAATCGGTCTATCCATTATCGAGTTTTTTAACGGACGGTAATTGACTTTTATATACAGTCAAACCAGGGTAAGTAAGAACTGGATAAGTGGGAAAACTCTATAAGTGAGAGTAATAGCCAGGACCCGTCATTTTAAGGTCCCTAAACCTCTATTAGCGAGAAACAGAAATCTCTGTAAGAGAGAGTCGTTTTTCCCTCATGGACCTCCGTAAGTGAGACTACTACTTATCTATACCTCTACAAGCGACAGTCGAGCTTTATTTATTTATTATTATTTAGGAGGAACTATAGTTACAATAAAAATACATACATACATAAAAGATACAGAGTGATTAAATGTGTTGGAGACGGTCCATCAGTACTTTGAATACGCAGCGGTTGTTGATCAAGCAATATTCGACAACATTTATGAGTTAGAGAAAAACATTCAAAATACAGAAACATAAACCCAAACGAAATTGACGGATTTTTTTTTAGTGTAAATAAGTTCTTAATAAAATAAAGTAACATAGTGCATGAATTTTTGTTTAGTTTTCGTAAGCATCTTGATACTTACCCTTATAAAGTATTTATATGTCGAAACCTAATGAACGTAACATTATACACACTACATAAAAATATATATGTACATTATATAGGTATGTTGTGCATATTATTCACCTAATTTTAACATATTATACATTTACTACATTTTTACTTGCTGTGACTTGTTATTGCTGCGTACCTCTATAAGAGAGAAACGCTACCCACGTGCCTGAATTAGCGAGAAACTCGGGTTACTGAGAAACCTCTATAAGCGAAAATGAGATTGTGCTCCCTTGAACTCTCGCTTTGACTGTACTGACTGACAGTATAGGGACTATATATACAAAATTGTATAGCTTATTATTATATACCTACTGTTGCATAAATACCATTATTATTGGCATTACAGCCTATAAAATACACTATTAAACGGTATCCCCCATAGATTGCTCATAGGGGGATATTTTCATATTTGGCACGTTTGCGTCGGAAGGCCGTTTGTTTTTTATAATTTTAAGTAAAAAATAATTAAACTTTATTTGACATAACATAGAATAAAATAACACGAGATAAAAAATACTTAAAGGTTTGTGTGAAGTCAAATTAAATCCCTATTTCAGCTAACTGTTAACTAACTAACTACATAGGTACTCGTAACTGGCGCTGAAATAGAGCCCAACGGACAAACACACATTAAAGCTAAAAATCTCCGAATTCCCAGCAAGACATTTTACCTGCAGACTTACAAGAATAATACTTCTTTTTACAACCCGCTAATAAGAATGTGTCGACTTTACAACGAGATCTAACTCCGGCTTGGATATTTTTGACCCAAGATCAAGGATATTCAAAAGAACAGTAAAAGAGCTCACAGTCTTACACACTCATTCCCATATCACATAGATTTTTATTTTTTGTTTGTAAATTTTGTTTTTTGTATTATGTAGTAATGTACGGCATTGATATTGTTAATATTGTAGATTATTTATATTATATATTATTTTGTAATTAGAGGTCGCGAATGAGATAAGAATTGCTACGTCGCATTACGACGGCCTCCATTGTGTTGTTTTATTTCGTTAATATACGTGACAACGAGGCTTTTTCTTGAGTTTTGAGTGATTGACCTAACTTCGATTGCTATTAATTTGCATCGACGCGTGGTTTGTGTTGTGTTTTAATATAGCACTATATAATTTTGCTTTGTCGGTTGAACGCTAAACTTTGTGATCCCGGTGGAGATCGCGCTCGATTATAGTTTGTGCTAAGTGACGTTAGACTTTGAGTTCCGATAACGGCAGGCGCCCTCTAAAGTGATTGCGCCTTGTGGAGCGTGGCAACGAATGTGGTTCTGCTGAACGATTACATCGGTGACGTCAGGTTACATTACACACTTTCCTACACCACTCACACATACCATTTACTTGTCGACCCTACACCTGTAATTCGGTAAGTTTGTGTTTGCTTATACAGTCGTTATAAATTAACTATCCATATGCCATTGGGCCCTCCCCTCGCTTGCTCGTCGAGTTGGATTACTGATAGGCCCTAATCCTGTCGACTTTTGTCGGGGTAACTGAGGGCCGTAACACACACATATATGTATATATATATATTTATATATATATATATTAGTATTACGTGTAATTTTTAATGTATTTTGATTGTTATCTGTTTTGTTGTCTATATATTAAATAAATAAATACATTGTATTTGCGAGCATTAACATATACGGTGTGAATATTTTTACAGTCTGGAAAATAGTATGTTATTTTGCGTAAGTGGAATAGAAGCTATCTTCGAAGTTATTTGAAAATATTACAAAATATAATCAGAAACGCAAAATTTCCGAATAGAGAAAAAAATACATACTAGGTAAAAACAATTCATTCTACGGCGTTTGCGTAAAATTAAAATAGACTACAACCGCTATAAGTTATATTATATAGTTATAATTAATGAAAGTTGTAAGAGCGAGCGAGAAGCATACACATCTTTCATTTAGTCACAAACATCTGAGGCCTGCACTGTAATCTCAATGCAGTCCATTACCACCTTGCGTTTGACAAGCCGCACTTACTCTTCTTAACCGAGACGCAGATAAGATGTCCTCTAGGTGCGGCATTCCTTGGCTACTGTGGGTACACATTTTTTTTTAATTTATTCTTATAAAAACTGTACATTATTGATATTTTAAATTTTGCCAAACTGTAAGCCAGTTTGTTTGCATTGAAGCACAATTTCGAGCCACCGCTGCTAGCGCGCCGGAGTTTGTTTTTACGTATGCAATGACATCTGCTGGTAGCGTCTCCGTCACCTTGAAGACCCCACTTTCTCTACTAGTTGTGGAGAGACACCAACCAAGTGCTTGGGCAAGTCGGGATCCAGTCCAGTCCGAAAGAGAGGCTATGGTTGAAAGTGTGAATCTCACACTACCGGCAGTCTCCGAATAGAGCGATGCCAATCTCGTGAGATTCAATGCCTCCAAAACACAAAAGTGTTCATTGCTAAATGGAGCCCACTCATTCTGGCTCCCACTTTCCGGAATGTATCCTTTGAGTACACTGACCGCCTTCAGTTGTTATGGGTTGAATTTTTTCCGAACTTCAACTATGGGCGGTTCATTAAGCCGCAAGGAAACATGGTGTTCTTGCAAGGTTGCAGCGATACTTCGGGGCAGCTTCTTACCTTATACAAAGCGCAAGTCCGGTCGTGCATGAAGTACTGCGGTCACATATGGGCTGGTGCTGCAAAATGCCACCTGTCAGCGTTGCACTCAGTGCAGAAACTTGCTAAGAGGCTTATTGGTGAACTTGATTTGGTTAAAACAAACCTTGTTAGCCTGGAAAACAGGCGCAGAGTATCCAGCCTCTCAGTGTTCTATAGGATGCATTTCGGAGAGTATGCGCAGGAATTGCACGCTTTAATTCCTCCCTCTCCTTTCCACCATTGGGCGACCAGACTATCGGCGGGTCTTCATCACTTTGTTATTGATATTCCACGCATTAGAACCAAAAAAGATTACTTCAACTTTTTTAATGCGTTCAGCAAAGGAGTGGAATAATTTGCCGGCGTCTATCTTTCCGTTCGAATACAATCTGGGCATCTGCAAAGTAAGAGTGAATAGGCTTTTGTTACGCTAAGACAGTGTGATTTACCATCTAAGGCTGCACTGCTTACCACCAGGTGGGATTGTGGTACCTAGCACTGGCTTATATAAAGATAAAAAAATGGGAGGGGAGCGGCCGGCACATCGTTGCAGCCAACATTTATAGAGTCAGTTGAACGCGCCTCACACTATCAAAAATTATTTTTCTCTTATAATTATTTAGACACTTTTTATATTTATTTTCGATTTTGATTGCCTCATTGGTCTAGTCGTTGCAGTAGTGTGACAGCTTATCATGAGGTCCTGGATTCGAAACCCGGGTCAGTATATAAGAAAAAAAAAAAAACAATTCATAGTGTATTTCTGTCAAGAAATTCTCAGTAGCTGCCCGGAGTCGGGAACTTGGCGGTGTCTCAACCCCCGTGCCTCGGAAAGCTCATATAGCCAGCCAAAGAAAGTGTGCAAACTATTTACAAATAATTTGCATGCAGCGACGCATGACACGAACATTGGAAGCGATTGTAACGTCATCGTCTATTTTCTGGATGTTATCGCTGTTATTCTATGCGACTCTTACAGCTTCAGAGCTTCTTCTTTTGTCAGATGACAAGGCCGCGAGCATTGTAACGTCAAAAGAGATGTGTTGACATTTATAGGTGTGAGTCCACATATTAGTGGCTACACGGGCTCCACACACTCGCTAGTTCTATTATGTATGTGTTATAGTATTCTATGGTCTGATATACTGTAGTTGTATAGAATAACATGTTAAATTTTACCTTGCGTTATAAACAGTTTCTAATAATAATTTTTATGCTTACCTCATGCTGCAACATCTTGGCGTATTTAAAAGATCTAAATCAACTTATTTACAAACTACTCTGATAGATATTTACAAAACTATACTACATTATTGTTATTTACCTTTTTAGAGATATTGCAGTAATTGTTCAAAATTTCTGCAGTTTCCTTCTAAACACAAACTAGCACGACTCTATAAAATATTTGTTAAAATCTATCACTTTTTATCACATTAAATGCGTCTATTATACGTTGCTTTCACTAACATTTTGTGCTTCTTCCTTGTACTCTAATAGTTTTAGTTGGACCCACAAATAAAAGTCTAGAGGTATTATAGGTCTGGTTATCTCGCCGGCCAGTTCACAGGTCAACAACGACCTATCCACCTATCACCAAATTGGCTCGTCATTGGCTCGTCGCTAACTGAAGAGTTGAGAACGCGGGTAGCTTTGCCTTTGAGTCTGTGAAACTGCGAAGTAACAAGGTCAAATATGCCTACAAAATTTATTGTTTTATTGCCTTTCGTAAAGTAGGGTGGATATGTATTGAATTTCGATAGATTTTAATTTATTTATTTATTTAATCCAAAATTTTTGTTTTTATTTGTAAAATATCAGTGCCATAAACTTCTACTCCGTTCACATGTTACACCGTATTTTTTTCTAGACGGTAAAAAAGGTCATCCAGTATAATACAAGTTTACAAACATTAGCACACACTTACGTTTTTTACGTGGTAGAGCCGTGCTGCAGCTATATTTGTAGCATAGTTGTATTAAGAATGGGTCGGCTCGACCGGGAAAGGACTACGCTTTGTTACAGAATACCAGCGTAAAATAGTTTAACGCTGTTGTGTTTCGTATGATGAGTGTAGTGAACCGTATGATGAATGTAGAGACCCATTTTACTGGAAAAGAGACATTCCATCTTAGTCCTTACGGGTGAAATCGCATCTGCATTTTGATACGTGATCAAAAATTGATAGATGTCTATGGACCGCAAAGACTATATAACCACTTGACTGCGCATAAAATGCCCCGACGCTCGAAAACTATTAGTATTTTGTCGCCTATGCATCGGCTATGGTACTATTAACCATTTTAGTATTGTCCAAGTGTTAGACCTGTGTGCACGCTAAATTAATGCAATTTTTTATAACTTTTATGCAATTATAATGCATTAAAATGCCTTCATGCGCGGTGAAGTGGTGTGGGAAAAATTCCAGGACAGATGTCCAAAAAGAATGGAGTAACTTTTCATTACTAAGTAAAAAATACGAAAATTATTGTTGATTAATTCAGATTATGAGCCTCCGCAGGGGTCTGTCTAAAACGGTGGCCGGGTAAATAACGACATGGTTTAGTTTCGCGCATTGATGTCTTTGGAAAAGTCTCGTTCTATTATTAGACAATTCTAATGCTTCTATCCCTTTCTTTCCCTTTGTATGTTTTATCGTAAACATTAGTACTTACTGTTACTTTTAAACCGGTGAAAGTCGATATCGTAAATAATAAAATTAAAATTAATAAAAAGATTATTCAATTCACACACTGTGAAAAAATACTTATCTACTTTTAACCGTCTTCAGAAAAAGGAGGAGGTTCTCAGTTTGTCGGTATTTTTTCCTAGTTAAAGTTTATAGTTACCTAGTTAACTTAGTTAGATTGGTGTACCAAATCAGAACGGCTTACAATTTCAAAAGGACACTAAAGACAAGTTATTGTACGGATCCACTACAGTAATAGATATTTGTCGTCATTGTAATATTTTAAATAAGAGGGCGATCAATGAGAGTGATTCAAAAGTGCTGTCTTCGAAATATAATACCAATTATTTTATGAGAACGGTTTTAAAATCTCCGATTAGGTATTATTGGTTCCCGGATATTCATTTTCCTCAATTTGAAATAGAATCAACAAATCATATAATTGAATTAGCAAGATGCATAATTTACAAATATGTAGACGCTTGTTTATATTTTTTTACAAAGAACAATCAGGACCCTTAAACTTTAATTAGAAATAAATATAACAAATTAATTCATTTTAAAAATCAATAATAATATAATAAATACATGTTTTCGTTGTAACTGATTGATTTTGATTAAATATTATTTCTATTATTTTAATTGAGTATTTTTCATAATGATAAAATCCATTTTATCGATAACGAATATTTTCCTTTATTAAGAAGAGCAACCCTAAAGATATAACAACGCGTTCTTCCTCGTCCCCCGGCCCGCAGTAGTGAGTCGTATGCTTATAAGAAATCTGCCTATACGCTCTCTAGTGGTTATATTCTCTATGATGGACCGCAACAACCACTTACCATCGGGTGGACTTTGTATTTGTTTGTCACCCTAATCCTATATAAAAAACATATCTATACATCAATTATTTCAGTTTCCCCCTGTCACCTGTTACGACACTCACAGGACGATATGGGCTAGTGTCGGTCACGGTAGGTCATACTCGATTAATATTTGTTTAAATTATTCTTCCCCAGTGGCCCGTTAACTGACGCAAAGGTGGGAATCCTGAAGCGATCTGCCGCTACGGACAGTACCAGGCATTACAAGATAAAACGTATCATCAAACATCCCGACTATAAATCGCCGAAAAAGTATAACGACATCGCCCTTTTGGAGACAGACAGAGAGTGAGTATTTTTTTTGTCCGTGCAATGGGCAAAGAAAACACCAATGTTGCCAGCCTTGCTTTACAAAAAAACGGAATTTTCGACATTTGAAAAAAAAAAAAACTTGGATATGAGTGACACTAGCCTTAGAAAGCTACATATATACATAGGTGTCTATGGGCCTTCGCAACTGCTTACCATCAGGTGGACTTTGCTCTCGTTTATCACCATTATTCTATAAAAAAACTGGCTTGCCTGTCGACACTTGTTCTTCCCTCAGCCACGGGAATTCTACTCCATCTACTAAGAAACCATATGATTTTTCTGGCATTTTCTGTTATTAGTAATAAATATAGTAATTCCTGTAATTCCGAGATCGGATGATCCATTCTATAATAACATCATATCTTGTGATAAAGGGCTTACCCCTATATCCTTAGCCAACGAGAAATGGCAGGACCCGGCAGTACATAGCACTTCTGACCGCGAGATCGTATGGAAGGTGAAGGAGCTCCACGGGAGGTTCTAGAAGGCTCTACATGAGCCTTTTCTAGATACAGTCGCCTCCCTCAACTGTTCGGTGACCTCTTCAGGGAAACCGCGGTTTTTGTCTATACAATACAGGATCTGGTTATTAAGGGTGCACTACTTACGAATATCTAGCTCTGTATGGAAACAAAAAAGTAAAACAAGAATATATTTAAAAGTACTAATTTTAACACATCTTTCGGCGGAAATAAATACCATAAGGAGATCGAAAATTGCAAAACGGTTACCATACGGGGATGGATTAGGTGATCAAATGTGCAAATAATTTTATTTTGCACAAAACATTCAATAAATTTTTCGTGATATCGAGATCTATTAAGATCTATTTATAAATTTCGCGCGCTCGTTTTTGTTGTAAATCATCATGCCTTTCGTTTTCGCACGTGATGTCGCCTGAGATAGCATACATTTTAACCCCGCCCACTACTTAGTTCGTTCCATCGACTAGGGCCACCTTAAGATTAAGAACTATCGGAGATACATCCTAAAGGATGCCTACCGTCGACATCTGTCGAGTTTGTCGCCGTCCCGGTGAGTCACTTAGGCATGTCATTTCCTGTTGGTCGGCGCTTTCTAACTCGTAGTAGCCAGGATTTTACACCAGGGCTTGCTCTAAAATACGGCCTCGAGAATCGGATATTATAAGTACTTGCCGGACGCCGTGCTCGAAAATGACTGCGCCAGGCTCTACTGGGACCAGGCCATCATCACAGATAGGACTATTCTTGCGGATAAGCTTGATATTGTGCTGATGGACCGCGCCGCCAGTCAAGGATATATTAGGTCTACATTACCATTCCGTATGACGAGAACCTCGTGAAACCCGAAGGAGATAAGGAAACAAAATATCTGGACCTGGCTCACGAGGCAATCGACGTGTGAGATGGCCTGCCGACCGAAATTATTCCTGTAATCCCAGCCAGCATCTCGGGTGATCTGAGGCGGCTGCGACTCCGTGACGAACTGCTTCCGGGCTTAGATGCAAGAGGCGGTGCTCCTCAATAACGCCCGCATCGTCCGCTGTTTTCTTTCCCTTTACCCTATCCCTCGGCTGTTTGTTTCGTTCCGTCTCTCCCCTGCCGAGGGCTTCCATCCGGTAGGGCTTTTATTTACTTATGTTTTATTTATTTATTTATGTTAGTATATTAAATATATATTTATGTATATTTATCATTTTTTTATATATTTATTCAGCCCAACCATATGAGAATACTCTATGAATACCCCATAACAAGTAACAATAATTGTCAATCAAAATTATCATTGTCATTTTCATTCAGTTTCAATCAGTCAGGTAGATTAGGGGCTAAGAGCTTGTATTGCCCTCGTACAAGGTACTTAAAACAAACACTATCCCCTTTTACGGCTAACATTGATTAAACATTCTAGGATCGCACTGGATCAGTACGCAGTGCCAGCATGCCTGCACAATGGGCATTCAGTAAACGACACCGATGCGACGGCCATCGGTTGGGGCACCACTGCATTTAGAACGAATAAGATCTCCGATGTACTACAGAAGGTAAGGTCCTCTAGGAGTTCGTTATGTTGCACCTCTCATTCACTTCCGTCGCCCTGGTATCGTTCCATGCTTTGACCCGGTTTAAAATACCTTCAAATATTTAAATGTTGTATATACATATATATTTGGTCTTGCGCCTGATCTCTCTCCGGTCGTGTCAGCTTACCGTCCCATCGGATTATGAGAGTGAGGCAATATTAGCCCCCCCCCCCCCCAGGATTTAAGCACTATATTCAATGCAACAACACCTACAATTATCGCCGGATACCTCAATGCAAAACATCCTGCTTGGGGCTCCGCGATAATCACACCTCCTGGTGGATACTCTTCGAACACGCTGAAGAGTGAGGATATGAGGAACTGGGTCCAGATGAGCCCACCCACATCCCCTCCAATCCCACTCATCAATCCGATGTCCTAGACATTGTGTCGTGCCATCAAATGCCGTTCAGAATACGGTTAGAGGTGCTGTATGATCTGGACACGCAGCACCTCCCCGTGTTTTTCACCATAGACACCGACGTGGACGCCGTAGTGCCCAGTGGTCCAAAAATGCGGATGAACTGGGCACGCTTCCGCTAAGCACTGGAGGACCTCCGACTCGGCGCCTCTATGACCACCCAAGAAGATGTGGAGACAGCGGCATTGCTTTTGCACACTACTCTTAATAAACAACTAGAACTCTCCTCACACCCTGTCTCCACGGGGCGCCGAGGGGAGAAACTCCCCCACAAACTCCAACTTCAGCTTAACAAGAAGCGGAAGTTAAGAAAGCTGTGGGCACAAACAAGGTGCCCACAAATCAAAACCAAGCTAAACCAGATAACTGAAGAGCTGTTGGTAGCGAATTAGAGCGCACAGGAGAGGCATGGGATAGGCGAGTCGACGAAACATCTGAGACACCTGCCTCCCTGCACCTCCTCAACCGGCAGCTCACAAAAACATCACCTCCTGTTTGCCCACTAGTGAACAACACGGGAAAAGGAATCTATGACGCCCAGCAGAGAGCGGAAATGATGAAACAGCACCTCCAAATTCAATTCACACCGAATCCCATTGCAGAGGGGTACGCGGAGCACACCGAGAGGGTGGAGAACCGCGTACGGGAATACCTGTCGCACCCGGCACCACCACTGCGAGGCGAGGACTTTATCTCGCCAGCGGAGGTAAGGCGCGCCATCATGCGCCTACCTAACCGCAAAGCACCGGGTTGCGACGACATTACCACCATGGCCTTGAAGCAGCTGCCCAGAAGGGGAGTTGTGGAGGTGGCCAGACTTTTCAACGGCGTGTTAAGAACTGGCCACTTCCCAATAAACTGGAAACGAGGCAAGATTGTCGTTCTACCAAAACCGGATAAGAATAGGAGGTACCCGGTTAGCTACCGCCCCATAACGCTATTACCGCGTATAGCCAAAATTTTTGAAAAAATTACTAATTAATTTTTTTATATAAATTACTAATTACCCTCGTATCTTACCGCACGTTGCTCTGCGGGAGGAACAATTTGGCTTCCGCAGAGCACATTCTACCACAGCCCAACTAGCCCGCGTGCTATACTATCTTGCGGCCGAGCACAACCGCGGCCGCATCTGTGTGGGGTCTACTTGGACATAGTGAAGTCCTTCGACAGAGTATGGCACTCAGGGCTACTTCACAAATTAATCAGTAACACCACCTTGCCGCCAATGCTTGTGCGGCCAATAGCGTCATTCCTGGAGGGGCGGAGCTTCTATGTTAACATCGAGGACGCTGTCTCGGTAGCACGACCGATTGAAGCGGGAGTGCCGCAGGACAGCTGCCTATCACCCCACCTGTACGCGGTGTACACAAATGAAATCCCCACACTCCAAGGTCACCTGGAGGAGTGGGAGAACGATGTTGTGCTCGCGTTATATGCAGACGACAGTGCGTACTTCACGTCATCTCGTCGGGTAGAACTCGCGGCAAGGAAGCTGCAGAGACTGCTGAACTTGTTGCCAGATTGGCTGGACAGATGAAGGATGGCGGTCAATGTGGGGAACACGCGATGTGACTCCGTGGGCAGAAAGTAGGGTGGAAAGGTACCGTCAACTACCTAGGATAGATAGAAAGAAAACACCAATGTTGCCAGCCTTGCTTTACAAAAAACGGAATTTTCGACATTTGAAAAAAAAACTTGGATATGAGTCACGCTAGCCTTAGAAAGCTACATATAGATGTAGGTGTCTATGGGCCTTCGCAACTACTTACCATCAGGTGGACTTTGCTCTCGTTTATCACCATTATTCTATAAAAAAAACTGGCTTGCCTGTCGACACTTGTTCTTCCCTCAGCCACAGGCATTCAACTCCATCTACTAAGAAACCATATGATTTTTCTGGCATTTTCTGTTATTAGTAATAAAAATAGTAATTCCTGTAATTCCGATATCGGATGATCCATTCCATAATGACGTCATGTCTTGTGATAAAGAGCTTACCCTTCTACCTTTAGCTAACGAGAAATGGCAGGACCTGGCAGTACATATCATTTCTGACCGCGAGGCCGTATGAAAGGAGAAGGAGCTCCACGGGAGGTTCTAGAAGGCTCTACATGAGCCTTTTGTGAGTCGCCTCCTTCAACTGGCTACGTTTCGGTGACCTCTTCGGGGAAACCGCGGGTTTTGTCTGTACAATACAGGATCAGGTTATTAAGGGTACACTAGCCACTCATTCTTCCATATAAACGTAGTCTGGCAATTACAAAGTCTGGACTTACCTACCAATACCAACCATGCTCGTAACGTAATGCTACTGTGTGTCGTATGGTGAGTGTAGAGAACCAGAGACCCTGTTTACTGGAAACGACGCATTCTTGTTAGTCCTCAAAGGTGGCAACGCATTTTCATTTTGATACTTAATTGAGAATAGATCTAGATGTATATGGGCCACAGCATCCACTTACCATCAAGTGGACTGCGTGCTCGTTTGTCACCCTGATGGACGGTAGTATCTACCGAATTTGATTTGTGGCATTTCTTCTGTGAGGCCTATGTTCTTTGGACTTGTGATGAGCCGCAATGATGATGAACTTCTAAAATTTCTTCAAACTAACAGTGTAATCTTTAAATGAAACTAAGTTTTACGGATATTATCACATACATTAAATTATTTTAAATTTTCGACGTTTTGAGTTCTTAACCTGTTTGCTGATCTTTCTGAGCTAGCTATGGTTACAGGAGGACTAAGGTGTTCGACGTCCCAATGTCGTAGTTAACCACGGCTAAATTCAGCTTAGAATTATTAGTTTAATAATTTACTTTTTAGCGCCATCTTTTTCACCATCACTTTAATTTTCAGGTTACTCTGCAGAAGTTCTCTGACCAGGAATGCTACAGATCTTACGCACCGGGTTCTCCAAATATGCGGAACATGAAATATGGGTACAACAGCACCACGCAGATATGCTATGGCGATTGGCATAAGGCCAAGGACAGTTGCAATGTGTGTACAATTTATTTAATTAGCAACCCTATATACTAGCAATTTACGTGGTAGAGCCAAGCTGTTTATTTATTTATTTATTCTTTTTTGTACACCACAATACAGAAACATGAAGTACAGTTAAAACTAAATTAAAGATCGGCTCGACCGGGAAAGGAGCACGCTCTTAGAGAATACCAGCTTAAAATAGCAGCTTAATATTGCTGTGTTTCATATGGTGAGTGTAGAGAACTGGAGAGCTCTTTTAGAGGAAACGAGGCATTCCATCTAAGGCCTCGGGGGTGTCAACATCTGCATTTTGATTCCGAATCGAGGATAGATGTAGATGCCTAAAGGCTACAGTAGCTACGGTTTTCGCCGTGGTCGGTCAGCTGGTGATCTTCTGGTCTACCTAACTCACAGATGGGCGGAGGCAGTAGAGTCCAAGGGGGAGGCATTGGCCGTTAGTTTGGACATTGCGAAGGCCTTCGATCGGGTTTGGCACAAAGCGCTTCTTTCGAAGCTCCCTTCCTACGGGCTCCCCGAGAAATTGTGCGATTGGATCACCAGCTTTCTTGCAGATCGGGGCATCAAGGTTGTTGTAGACGGTGCAAGCTCCGATTGCAAGCCTATTAATGCTGGTGTTCCACAATGCTGCGTGCTATCGCCAACGCTGTTTCTTCTGCATATCAATGATATGTTACAAACCCGTAACATTCATTGCTATGCGGATGACAGCACTGGTGATGCTCTTTACACCGGTCGAGCCAATATTTCTCGGGAAAACGTCTCCGAGTGCCGGGACAAACTTGTGTCTGAAGTCGAGTCTTTGCTGAACAGAGTCTCGGATTGGGGGCGACTAAATCTAGTCCAGTTTAACCCCCACAAGACACAAGTTTGCGCGTTAACCGCTAAAAAGAACCCCTTTGTCGTATCTTCTCAGTTTCAAGGCCAGTATCGGAATCCTCGGCGTCGACATATCGAGTGACGTGCAGTTTCGTGGTCACTTGGAAGAGAAGGCCAAATTGGCCTCTAAAAAGCTTGGCGTGCTCAGCAGAGCGGGACAGTATTTCATGCCGGCACACCGCCTGCAACTTTACAAGACGCAGGTTCGGCCGTACCAGCTCCTTCCACTTAACCGCATCCAGCGCAGAGCGGCTCGAATCGTCGACGACCGAGTGTTTTCCGATCGGCTCGATTCACTGGCACTGCGAAGAGATGTTGCATCTCTTTGCATTTTCTTTCGCATATACCATGGAGAGTGCTCTGAGGAATTGTTCGGATTAATCCCAGCCGCCAAATTTCGTGAACGCACTACGCGGCAAACGTCGCGATACCATTCACATCATCTGGATGCTTGGCGGTCCACCACTGTACGTTTCAAGGGGAGTTTTCTTCCGCGTACAACCTCTCTGTGGAATAGTTTACCACCAGCGATTTTTCCGGACCGATACGACCTGGGGACATTCAAGAAAAGAGTGTACTCCCTTCTAAAGGGCCGGCAACGCACCTGCAATTCCCCTGGTGTTGCGGTTGATCATGGGCGGCGGTAGTCACTTAACATCAGGTGAGCCGCATGCTCGTTTGCCCACTGTTCTATAAAAAAAAACATCCTATATCAAATCCTATAAAAAAACCCGGCCTGGCTTTGCCTGACTATTGAAGTGTCTTTATTTAGATTTAAGATAGTTAAAGATAATTTATTTTATCAAGTGGTCGGTCGTTTAAATTCGCTTCCATAGTAGGAGGCAATTTAGAACATTGAAAATGACAAAATTAGGGGATACAGTTTAGTGTTGTAGCTACGTATTTATTTATTTATTCATAGGTAACCAGCAGCGCACATATTATTACATTTTTATTGAAAGTATGCTTAATCTAGGGACTGATACCCTTGCAGGTGACGCAGCATTACAAAATACTTTAAAAATTAAGACAGAACAAAATTACAATACCTAAAGAAATATGTCAAAAATAATACCTAAAGATAATATAACTAAAACAATAAAAACAACAAACACAAGAAACATGGGTATTAGATTACAATTCAATCATTCACAAATCATTTATAATAGTGATTCTATTACATTTTTCCTATACTTATTGAAAGTATCATAAAAAACATCTATAATTTACATTCAAAATTTAATTATACTATTCGATAGCTGAAGTATCAAAGAAGTCGTTACGTTGATAAGTGAGGACTACGACTGTGGCGGGGAGGGGGGGGGGGAACGCCACCAATTTGAGGTTGTTTCGTACACGTTATGGAGTGTACGAGGTAAGGAGTACAGACTGTGTAAGAAAACCGTTAAATAAGGGTGGCGGCACTATAACTACGGGGTAAATTTTAAAGAACGAGCCGAAAAATACTAGTGGGATAGACGATTTTTAGAGGTTATATTAAGTAAATAAAATTATTTAAGATTTTAGAGCTACTGAGCAGTTTAGCAGCACACTTCACATAGTCGACAACTGCTAAGTTAATTTCATGTGACTGTTTCCTGTAGCTACTCCAACGCTGTTGTGGAGAGTTTTTGAACTGTTATTTACTGCTTACAGATGGACACATTTTCAACTCTACTCTCCCATGAGAGATTGTTGTCCTTACCTCTATACTCCATAATACACGTGTTCACGCAAAACACACGACCGTGTCTATACAACACTCACACCCAGTTATTTTAGATATCTATTTCGATTAAAATTTCCCTGAGCTTATGGCAAATCTAATTTTTTGTTTAATAAAAATAAACATTTATTTTTATCATTAAAGTTTATTCCTGATATATGCTTAGTGTTACCAATGTTAGATTTTTAAAATTTGCCGCGCTTTTACTGGCGAGTGAAATGCCAGACTATACCGGTGTCACTTCTCAGTAAACAGCACGGAGTAGGGATGAGACCGAAGCCTGTCTCCTGTTTCTCTCACACAATAAGACTTCTTTCACTCCCTACACAGTTTTCGGTCATTATTGTTTATGCATCAAGTGTAGTAATAACGTTTACAATTATCATTTTGCTATCTCAGTGTAACTCTCATATTAGCTATTAATTATTCCTACTTTATTATTAATAATAAAATTTTTAATTTTAAGTGTATTTTACACGATTAGTTAATCAAGTGATTTACATAATCTCAAAAGTACTCAACACGTGGCATGAGCTCCCACCAACAACGGCTTTTGTGTTGTAAGTATACTTTTTTATTTATATGGAAATTGTTTTTGGAAATGGTCAAAAAAGTTTCGGTGAAAGTTAATTTTTATTAAAATTGGGCAAACTTTTTTTTGTATTCATTTTTTATCATTTCTAACAATATATTTTTGATATAATTATGAAAAATAAAATTTTTCGCTTTCGTAAAACAGTCTAATATTTATGTAAATGTATGTGTGTACAATCAAATATTAAATACATTATAACTAGGGCCAGGATTTTTGCCGTGATTTCAAAATAACATTTTACAATTAATGTTGTTAAGTTTTTGACATTACGGCAAAATATTGGTCTCATAAAAAATTAATTTTAATTTTATTTTAATAAAAAAATGTCTGTTATGATTTTTTCTTAGGACCAATAGGAAAGCCGTAATTTCACAATTAAGATTTTCATAGTTTCCAAAAATTTGAATCAATCATTATGAATCTTTATTTTGAAATTACGATGGAAATATTGGTTTTATGAGAAACACAACACACTTTTTTAGTAAAATTTAATTTTTTTACAACTTTTGTTTCAATTTTTTTTCATAAAACTAATAATATTTTGCTATAATTTCAAAAAATTAAACTAGTCATTTCAAAACTGCGGCAAAAATCCTGGCCCTAATTATAACCATAACGTTTTTCATCATTAAGTAATTTCATTAATTATATTTATGTGTGTTTTGTACAGTGAGCAATGCCAAGAAAACACCGAGGGGCTGATTAGAGCTGTAATACAAGTAGATCTAGAAGCATGAGAAATAGAAGATCCCAAAGAACCGAAGAACAAATCCAGCAACAAAATACTGATGCACGTGTGAGCATGGCGCAATTGCGTCAAGAACAATCAGAAGATACACGAGCTGAACGCAATGAAGTAATAAGATTAGAACAACGACAATCACGCCGTTTCACAGTCAATAGACGCAGAACAAATGACCAACAACGCCAACAAGTACATCGAGCATTTACATCTGATTCATTCCTACGTCTAGCAATTCATTATGAGTCTGAAATTTAATATTATGCTCATTCAAAAGTGGTAATTGGTGCTATGGACAAGGAATGTCCGCATTGTCATGCTCTCAAATTCAAAAATGAGCCAGCTGGGATGTGTTGCGCGTCACGAAAAGTGCAATTACCTAAAACAGAAACACCACCTGAACCACTGAATGGTTTACTTATCGGCACGGATCCAGATTCTAACGTGTTCCTGAAGCTAATTCGAATCAATTCATGCTTCCAAATGACATCGTTCGGAGCAACAGAAATAGTTCGAAATACTAATGCAAATGGTCAACAATACAATTCTACATTCAAAATCAGAGGCCAAGTTTATCATAAAATGGGCTCATTGTTGCCAATGCCAAACGAACCACATCAATTTTTACAAATCTACTTCATGGGCGGCGAGGATTCTGGAAGCGCACTTGCCAATCGCATGAATGCACGTTGTGACTATAATAACCTTGATTCATTTTTTGCCAAACGCATTGTCAGCGAGCTGGACGCTCTATTTGAAGGAGCACAATGAATTGTTGAAAATATTCAAATCACACATGCACAAATTACAAAGCGATAATCACGCTATTGTCATTAATCCTGATAAAACACCAGCTGGAGAGCATATTCGTAGATTCAATGCATCTGTTGTTGATGTCGTTGCTGAAATCATGGTTGGCGATCGTACAGGTGCACGAGAAATTGTGATCGTAGAAGAAATAATAATCTTCAGTTCATTGCTGATACACATCGTTCATATGACGCTCTCCCATATCCGCTAATATTCTGGAAGGGGCAAGACGGATATTGCATAAACATAAAACAACGAGATCCCGTATCAGGTACTTCATTTATTATGAACTTGATCATTAACCATTTAACAAAACAATTAAATTATTGAACGTAATTAATTTAAATTAATATTTATGAATATATTATTACAGGAGCTGAAACAAACAAGAACGTTAGCTCGAAAGATTATTATGCGTACCGATTAATGATTAGACGCGGCCTGGACAACGTCATTCTACGATGTCGTGAGCTTTGTCAACAATTCATGGTTGACATGTACGTGAAGATAGAGGGCGAAGGACTACGATACTTACGATATAATCAACTCAAGCTGCGTGCGGGAGAGCACATTCACTTGTGAGACGCCATTAACAACAACACCGACGTCGCCGAAATTGGTAACTCTGTCATTTTACCATCATCGTACGTAGGCAGTCCACGTCATATGCGCACTTACATGCGCGAATATGGACGACCGTGTTTATTTATCACGTTCACATGTAATCCAAAATGGCCAGTGATTACATCTTTGCTATTGCCTGTCCAAAATGCAATACATCGTCATGACATTACAGCACGTATGTTCAGACAAAAGTTGAAGTCTTTAATAAGTTTCATTACTACATTACATGTATTCGGTCCCACACGTTGCTGACTGTATTCGGTTGAGTGGCAAAAGCGAGGATTACCTCATGCACACATTTTAGGTTGTTTAATCGACAAAATCCGTCCAGAAGAAATCGATAGTATCATTTTTGCGGAAATTTCAGATCCGTCGAGTGACCAACTGCTGTTTGATATTGTTACAGCAAACATGATCCATGGTCCATGCGGTACTCTTAATCGTTCATCGCCTTGCAAGGCAGATGGAAAATGTACTAAAAATTTCCATAAAGATTTCACTAATGATACGATAACAAATATCAACGGATATCCAATATATCGTCGAAGAAACCCCGATAATGGCGAACAGTCATTTATTAAAAATATCAGCAACACAGACACTGACATTGACAATCGTTGGGTGATGCCGTATTCACCTCCGCTAAGTAAGATATACAATGCTCATATTAATGTTGAGTTCTGCAGTTATGTGAAGAGCATCAAATACATTTGCAAGTATGTCCATAAAGGCAGTGATATGGCTGTGTTTAGAGTGGCAAATACTAATGTAAATGCTCCTCCAGTGATTAAAACGATGAAGCAACGCTCTACCAAATTGGTCGGTACATCAGCTGCAATGAAGCTGCTTGGCGTATCTTTGGTTTTCCAATTCATGAACGGGATCCAGCAGTTGTTCAGTTAGCTGTCCATCTTGAAAACGGTCAGCGTGTATTTTTCACGAACGAGACAGTGATTGATCGTGCTATAAATCCACCTAAAACTACACTCACTGAATTTTTTGAATTGTGTAATCGTGCGGATAATTTTGGTACCTTTGCAAGAACATTACTCTATTCACAAGTACCACGCTATTTCACATGTGCTCAAACAAAAAAATAGATGCCCCGCAAGCAAGGCTCACCAGTTGATGCATGTCTCAATTTATTTACATCAAACGCTTTGGGGCGATTATTTACAGTCAATCCAAGACACACTGAATGCTTTTATCTTCGACTGTTGTTGGTTAATGTTACTGGCCCATTATCATTTCAAGATATATGTAAAGTGAACGGGCAAAAGTTTCCAACGTATAAAGATGCATATAAAGACTTGTTGGAAGACGACAACCAGTGGGAATGTATGCTTGCTGAAGCTGCATTGAACTGTACAGCAATACAAATTCGTCTACTATTCGCTATAGTGTTGACTACATGTTTCCCAGTCCGAGCACAGATATTGTGGGATAATCACAAAGATTCAATGACTGATGATATAATACATCAACATCGTACACGGTGCAACTATCTAACGATAATATTCAGCGACGCTATGAACAATAAAGCATTGATTGCTATTGAAGATCTTTGCATTGTCATTGCCAACTTATCACTCAGTCATTTTGGTATGAATTCGCCAAATCGAACTGCATCGAATTTAATTAACACTGAAATGAATCGTAAATTGCAATACAACACTATAGAAATGGCAGCGATTGTTATTCGCAATGTCCCACTAATAAATGAGGAACAAAGAACCATTTATGACCGCATTTTGCTCGCAGTTTCAGCAGGACAAGGTAGGTTCTTCTTTTTGGATGCACCGGGTGGAACTGGCAAAACATTCCTTATTTCGATAATTCTTGCTGAAATACGATCAAATAATGGCATCGCATTGGCCGTTGCATCATTGGGCATTGCGGCAACTTTATTGGATGGAGGCACAACAGCTTATTCAGTATTTAAGCTGCCACTAAATATTCAAAATAACCCTGATGCAGTGTGTAACATTAAAAAACAATCTTCCATGGCCACCGTGCTGAAACAGTGTAAAATTATCATCTGGAATGAATGTACTATGGCACACAAACATTCAGTTGAGGCGTTGAACAGGACATTGAAAGATATTAAAAACAACGACAAAATATTTGGCGGCACTCTGTTGGTCCTCTGAGGGGATTTCAGACAAACACTTCCCGTCATTCCATGTTCAACATACGCTGATGAGATCAACGCTTGCCTCTCCATTGTGGCGTAATGTTGAAAAAGTACAGCTGAAAGTAAATATGCGCGTTCAAATGCTTCAAGATCCATCCGCTGAAACATTCTCAAAACAACTCTTAGATATCGGTGATGGAAAAGTTGCTATAGATGAAGCTGGATATGTAAAATTACCGACCGATTTCTGCACAATCGCTGATTCGCAAGATACTCTCATTGAACAAATATTTCCCGATGTACACACACAGTATATAAATCATAAGTGGCTTGCAGAAAGAGCATTTTTACACGACTTTGACAATTTAAATCTGAAGATACAACAGTTGTTGCCAGGGAACTTGGTATCATACAAATCTATTGATACAGTTTGCGGTGCCAGCGAAGCTGTAAATTTTCCCACAGAGTTTTTGAACTCACTGGATTTGCCAGGCATGCCACCGCATAATTTACAATTGAAGGTTGGATCTCCAATTATCTTGCTTCGTATTTGAACCCGCCACGGCTGTGCAACAGTACGCGAATAGTCGATCGAAAATTTATGAAAAACGTTATCGTAGCCAGCATTTTAAACGGCAAGCTCCGAGGTGAAAATATATTAATACCACGGATTCCTATTATACCTACAGATGTGCCAATTGAATTCAAACGTATTCAGTTTCCGATTAGATTGACATTTGCAATGACTATCAACAAATCCCAAGGCCAAACGATCTTTTTGTGGCTTAGATTTGAGCACACCATGTTTTTCACACGGACAATTATACGTGGCATGCTCTCTAGTTGGTAAACCATTCAGTTTGTTTGTGTTAGCTAAAGATGGGCTAACAAAAAATATTGTTCACGCTCTAGCATTAAGAGATTGATATTGTTTGTTAGTGTCACTGTCGTAATTAATTAGTGATATGTAATTTTAAGAAATAAACTACAATAACTTAAAAATGTTTGGCGTTTGTTATTTTTATATTCCCTCATAGTTCACAATGCTCCATGCCTATTTCGTAAGGTTTCCAATGCTTATAAAGATAATGTATCATCAAAAAGGAAAAGATAGGGACATAGAAGAGGTTGATATTTATTTAAATGTAAAAAATGCTATAAGTTCATAAACAAGAAAGAAAACAGGCGAGGGCGTTTGTATGGAGAAAAAAAAAGCTTTTAAGTAAGTAGAAAGACGGCATATAAATGAACAGGCCTCATTTTTAACAGTTTATTTTTTATTTTCACGTATTTTACTAATATTTAAAAAATATTTTTAATAGTAATAATATGGTTATATACAACTTGTAACAAAAATTCTGTGGTACCCTTTAAGGGCTTGCGGCTCACTAAGACAAGGTGGCGTGGTGGAACGTTGCTATGGCAGCGTTGTTGCCAAACGAATAGTTAATGGGGCTTATTCACTTTGCACGGGGTGTTCACTTTTCCCGGACTTCCTCTTCTTATATCCTATCCTATATCCTATATAGGAACAAACATAAGCTTGTAATACCAGTTACTAGAATCCAGAGAATTAGTAATTAATTTATGAGGCAATGTATACGCTTTTACAACAAAATCCCTGAAAATGTTTTGTCATTAAACAAGTTTAAATGTTTTAGTAAAGAAAAATTGTACGAAAAGAGTTATTAAATGAAAATAACTCCTGCGAATGAGGTGATCGCCACTATATTGGTTCTATAAAAATTCTAACAACAATTGTACAAAACAAATTTATTGTAATTCGAAATATGTTCCACACAGTCCACAGATATTTTTTTCGCAGACCGTAACCACAAATAAATGACTTTCAATAAGTATTATACAGTAATCTATATTGAATAAAAATCGTTCATTTCATTTCATATATTAATTTGTACTTAGAATTAAAAATAATGTAAATATATTATTTCATTTAACTTATTTGTTACACAATGTCGTTTTAATTGAGAAATTGCGTTTTAAATAAAAGCTTATTGGTTTCTAGAGCGTGTAAATGGACAAAACAATTCCTCAGTGGTTTTTATGTTTGCACAATTTGTAACAATTTTATTTTTTATTTTTTGTTCGTTAAGAAATATCTGTGGTTTAATTTGTAATGTAAATAATATAAAATATAACTAATATTTCAGAAACATTAAACCTTACATATTCCGAACAACTTTACTTCTCGGCCATGAAATTTGTCAAATATTTCACCTGATTCCTGAGTGGCACTGTTGCAGTGTCAGAAACAGAGTAGTAGATGCCCTCATTGTACAAGTTTTTAATCAATAAAAAAAATGAAAATTTTAATAATTTCTTCCAGGGCGACAGTGGAGGCCCAGTTCAGGTGAAACATCCCGAAATATACTGCATGTATTCAGTGCTGGGAATAACGTCTTGGGGCAAGCAATGTGGATATCCTGGGCTACCAGCTATCTACACGAGGATAGCTGCGTTCGTTCCCTGGATAGAGAGTATCGTGTGGCCTTGAAGTCTGCAGCAAGATCAAAATGTGATAATAAATAATAGTTGTCCATAATATACAATCATAATTTTTTTAATATTTTGGTCTGCAATGAATCCTTACTACGTGATGTTGTTCAAATCGTATCGAGTCATTTTTATTCAATAATGTCCAGATACTGCCAACTGCGCCATCTACCCGGTCCAATTTTGCCTATAACCTTCGCGGAAATGCATGCAGTGTGTTGACAAAGTTTTACCGCAATCTATTACAAAGTAAAAACTGATTAAACCACGTGTATTCGAATACATCTACTATCTGTAAATCACATAAATGTTTCTTCCTATGTCCGTTATAGACTGAACCAATGCAACCGATGTGCCCCAAACAGGTTTCATTAGAAAGGCAATACACGACGATGGTTATGGACCACATATAAAACAATGCATAAATCCTTATATAAAAAAGTTAATAAATAAACAAAATTTCATTTTTTTTTTTCAAGTAAGATATATTTTTGAAGTGACAACTTCTTTAACGGCATTGGACATTTATCTGTAATGGGTAAAAAATTGTTCAACTCGCGTCAGGACACGTGACCCTGATCGAAAATGCGTAAGAGGAACGGCGTAGAAGGGGAAGTATCCCCCTCCCTTTCTACTGCGCGGCGGCCTGCTGTTTCGTTTAGGCGGCGCAGGGCGCTTGCGCGAATGTAATATTAATTTTCATGTTTGTGTACGGTAGCGCAATGAATAAATATTGTATTCTACCACATAAATGATAGCATTTTTATACTGATAATTAAAGCAACTCGTGCAAAATTATTCCCTAACAATTCCAAAATATGAAAAATGCACAACGTTAATATTCAAGTTTTCACTTCTGCCAGCACTTCCGGAGTGCAACCCGTCGTTTTTTTAATCGTAATAACATTCTCCGGTTATTCACTAGTTCGTAATAAAATACCAAATTACATCAAATCCTATAGTAATAATATATTTAGTAAAAAATTTTCACTTATCTCAATTAAAATCAATTTTTTCACCGACTTCAAAAAGGATGAAATGCTCAATATGACTGTATGGTTTTTTATGTGTGTTACCTTAGATAATTTTTCTAGGTGAACAGATTTTGATGGTTCTTTTATTTGAATGCTGGTGCTTCTCTGGTGTTCCTATATAAATTTGATCAAGATCAGACCAGTAGTTTTTGAGTTATCTTTAATAATACGTATGTATTGATTAAAACTATTTTTACGGATTTTATCGCGTTTTATTTATTTTATTTTTAATACCCGACGTTTCGGGTGCATTCCAGCACCCATGGTCACGGGGGACTGAGGTGACTGACGTCCCGATGTCAAAGTTAACACAGAGTACTTTCATCTTTTTAATTATTGTCTTTAGTCCGATCTACGCAGAACGAACTAACTGTGTTTTGAAGTCTTGCAGCGGTATGCTTGGGTTTAGTTTTAATTTTATTAATTATAGGGTCCCAAGCAGGTGGTAGTACCCAGCCTCCTTCTCTATTGAAATTAGGATGTTTTTTAATTTCAATAGCCTCACGTATCATCCTTTGTAGGAATCGATGTTCTGTCGCAAGGATTTGTGGTCTATCAAATCTGATGTAATGGTTGGGCCATCTACGATATGATCGCAAACTGCAGACTTCCCGGAACGTGGATGCTTCACGTCAGCTACGTGTTTTCTTTTACGCGGGTTCTAATTGATCTCTTTGTTTGCCCTATATATGAGAGACCACAATCACAATCAAGCTTGTACACTCCTGCATCTTGTAGAGGAATATGACACTTGATGGATGGTAAGAACTGACCAATCTTCTTAAGCGGCTTATAGAATATTCTAATAGAAGCTCGCTTCAAGATGTAGCCAATCTTGTCTGTGACACCTCTGATATATGGTAGTACAGCAGGCATACGCTCGACTGTGGCCGGCTTCACTCGGTCACTGTGACGTAGGCGCGGGACCCGAAGCTTACTGTCCTGCAGAACCTGCTTGACGTGCTGAAGCTCGGCGGCCAGGTGTTTACTGTCACAGATCCATCGTGCTCTCTGTAACAAAGATTTGCCCACGGTAGCTAACTGTGAAAGATGAGGGTGAGATTCACCATTTAAATATCGGTTTGTATGGGTCTTTTTTCTCTGCCAGAGATGATTCTGTTTGTGAATATCGTTGAGAGTAGACGTGCAGTTTGTTGTTTGAAGAACTATTTAAAAAAGTGCATACAAACTTGACTTTTAAAAACGGCAGCTTTTCGGTGCATATTCGTGTATACAAATTACTGTGACAATCTACAAAGTTTATAACGATCGATCGAACGTGAATAATTGTTTCTTTGTTTAGGATTGCATCTCATGAACCTGAAGGGCGCCCGCACCTCACCTCCGCTAACAAAAGACAAGTGCATATTTTTGTTCTCACTTGCGTGTTTACGATGCAACGTAAACCTCCGCAAAAGATAAAGTGTATGTCAAGCTCAGATCTGCACAGTGAAATTGATTCTACCAATAACTTCGTTATTTGTAGAAAGCGCAAAGAAATGGACGACGTATCCGAACATAGTACGATATTTTCCAACAATATCTTAAACGAAAAATATATAGAAAAATCAGTGACAAACTCGGTGCGCTCTGTTTTGTCCGCTGAGCTCACCAAAATAACAGTTGCCTTAACTAACATCCAATTGGACGTAGCCGAGATAATTTCAGATAATACTGCTTTAAAAAATTCGTTACTGGAAGTTAACAATAAGCTTATGGATACATTATGTTTCTCCGAGTTACGTCAAGATTCATTTGATGCTCGTATTAAAGGGCTTAAAGAAAAAATGCAACAGGTTTCGGAGCAGAATGCTCTTACGATTACTTATTTTCCAGACCAGCAGGTCTGGAAAATAAGTTATCATCAATGGAACAACAGGCTAGGGGCAATAATCTTTAAATTTAAAATTTACCTGAAAAAAAGGCGAATAAATCTTTTTACTATAATAACTAATTTGGGGGCTATAGTTGACCAAAAGATTCTTTTGACTGATATCACCACAATTCATCGAGTTCCTCATGCTGACGCAAAAATATTATTATTCGCAAAAAATATTATTGTACAATTTTCATCAAGAATTCTTCGTGACAACTTCCTCGCTGCCTGCCGTGTACGTAAAAATTTAAATTCAGAGAAGTTATTGATCTCTGGACCATCGTTACTATATGTATAATATGTAAATGAGCATTTGACATTAAAAATGAGATATTATTTCGTGAATGTCGAAATGCAGATAAAGCTAATGAATACAAGTATGTGTGGGTTAAGCATGGAACTATATTGGTGCGTAAAATGATAGCTCGCCAGCTATGGCAATTCGATCTTTGGATAATATTAAAAAGATTAAATATTGGCGTTATTTTAAACAATGACAGGTTAGATTTAAAACGAATAATATTTAACATTGTTCTAGTATGTACTCATTCTCCTTTCTCTTATTATACTTTATTTTGTGAGGTAAATTTAATTAAATATCAATTTTTTAATATTATAATTTTGCGGGTTTAAGCACAAGTACGTCGGGCCTTATGAATGTTGTTTACATATTATTTAAAATACTAAGTTGGCTGTTGATCAAAGCGGGCAAAATAGTGTTTGTTTATGTTTTTACTCGTAATCTTAAGGAAATAATTATTATAACTGTTGATGTCTATTTATTTATAGGGTTACATATAATTCAATATTTTATTTCAGTAACAGTACAATTTCTTACATTTAAAATGGATAGCTTCTCTATTTACTACCAAAACTGCCGAGGGCTTCGGACCAAATTACATACCATATATACGAACATTCTTTCTCATGCATATGATGTACTCGTAATTATTTTAACGGAAACATGGTTACATAGGCATATTTCTGATAACGAATTAATTGATACCAGATATACTGTGTATAAATGCGACAGAAATCGTAATGCGTGTAACCGGAGGGACGGTGGGGAGTGCTCATAGCGGTACGCCGTACGCTTAGCGCTGTCGAGGTCCGAACTTCTTTCCCTGCGTCCGCACTTTGCCCACTGATAGATTACGTTACACTTGAGATTAGGGGTGGCAAAAAACTCTATCTATTAAATGCTGTCTATATTGCGCCCAACCAAAAGAGTGATGTATACTTGAGCTGTATAGAATATTTGTCTGGTATAGTTAATCAATACCAATTATGTAATAATAAATTTTATCTAGTAGGAGACTACAATATGCCATCTATTTAGATTGGAATGATATGGATCTTAATTTTGAAACTAATTATTTTTTCGATATATCAATTTCACGAAATAGTTTAATAAATTTTATATCACTTTATGATTTTACACAAATTAATACATATTAAAATTCAAATAATGTTATTCTAGATCTATTTATTACTAACATAAATGACTATATATTATGTCTAGCCCCTATTCCGTTAGTAAGTACTGATAAACATCATCCTCCATTTTATGTAATAGTGCCTTTTGCCGAGAAGATACGAGGCATGCCGATTAAAAACACACGTTACTGTTTTGAAAGTGCGGACTACGTATTGATTAATAAAGTAATATTAGATACTGAATGGAAGGCTTTGATGAAAGACGACGTTTCTGCTGAAGCTGCTGTGGACTTATTTTATGACGGAATATATGGTATTATACGCAAATATATAGTAAGTAAAACTGTAAAAAACAGCAATTATCCTAAGTGGTTTGATTCATCATTGATACTTATCTTCAAAAATAAAAATAATGCTTGGGTTAAATGGAAAAAAGTACGAAAATTTATCAGATTATAAAACATTTGCATTGTACAGAAAACGCTTTAAAAATGTAACAAATTGCAAAAGCAGCCTAGAAACTCCGTCAGAATTTTTTTATAAAAACAAATTTGCTAGTAACCCCAAGGAAGTATGTAATTTATTCTCTGATTTTTTTCTTTTCGGTATTTGAACCCACTTCAGTCACTGACGATTTGAATTATGATAACATTA